GAAACTGGTATCTGATATCGCCTCATCTATTTAAACTCATTGGTAGTTTTTGGGCTTTTTTAGGTGTTTTTAGATGAAAACAACAGAAATTCTCTCACTTCAGAGGGCCAGAAGTCCCAAATCCAGTACATCTGTAGTTAGATTTGACCAGGTTCAAAGTGGAACTTCTGGCGAGACCACTTCATAGGTGGTGCTGCATGGAGGCACAAAGGTCTGGTTGCCTCTCCATGCTGTGCCCACGACCAGTGCAGGGGGCACCCATGACACTGGTCACTGGGACCGGGAAGCTCTGCCTCGGTGCCATCCCCAAAGCCAAGTCCTCTGCTGCCACTATTTGCAAAGAATTGAATCTGCATTACCCACCTGCTTCACATGCTTCTTTCCAAATCTCTTCCCTTCGGTGCATCTCACTGAGGGAAACTTGGTCTCACACCGGGAGCCTAGATGCAGGGCAGGCTGGGAAAGCTTGTTTTCCTTCTATGAATACCTCAGAAAGATGGAATTCCTAGCGAAGGACACTCCCCAAACATGGGAGAGTTGCTCACAAGAGGACAGACAGTCACACATGTGACACATGCCCACTAGGATTGTCTAAGCCAGAGGTAAGACTGAGAGCTAAATGTGAGGAGTCCAAGCAGGGCCTCCGATGGGGGACTATGGTGTCAGGGAAAGGACCCATTTGGCCCAGACATCACATGCATGAAGGGCTTTTCAACTTTTGACATTATCACCAAATGAAGTGACAATGAAGGTCGCAGAGAGACAGTCACGGGACAGAATGAAGTTCATTCTCCAGCTTCCAACTTGTGCACTGTGATTGGACTAGACTGCCTCGGGCACACGACAAATGCGTACATTTTATAAATCCCATAATTATCTTGGAATTAACACAACATAATTACATTACAGTGTATGTTCGTGTGCTTAACTGTTTAATTTGTTACAGGCAACCATTTGAAATAAAGCACACGTTTTGTTATTCTGATCTGGCATTTCTTTCTAGGGGACATCTCAGAAAGGGGAAATGGCCTTGAGATGCTCAGAACTCAAAGAAGCGGGGGTTGTGGGTTATGAAGGCAGGAAGATCACCCCAAGGCCATCTTTGGGGGGGAAATGGAGATGGCATCATTGGTAAGTGCCCTTCCCAGAGCAAATGAATTCCTTTATCCAAAGGGCTTTACAAAGTCATTTCTGTCCTTGATTCAAACCTCCCTGAGAAGGAAGCCCATTCCTGTGACCTGGGGGATTCGCAAGTTCCCACCACCTGTGCAGACCCTGCCGTACACCCGCAGCTCAGAGTGGGCTGTGGGGCTGTGGCTGAGCTGGTGAAGCCCCTGGGAACTCAGGGTGGGAAAGATCCAGGTCTGCAGGGGGGGATCTGAGGAGATGCTCCTGTCAGTGTGGGTGTGGACAGGGAACATGAGGAGAATTAAGCAGACTGACTGTAATTGCAGGGCAGCCTTGAGCTGTTTAATTTACACCTGAAAGGAGCAGCCTGGGGTCCTAATTAACGGAGACAGAGGTTATACATTAGGGCTCCCAGAGAGGTGCTTGGGGTTTGCCTTGTCAGGGTTTCCTTGTGGGAGGGTTTTGGAGGTTGCCCAGAGAATGACGTTGATGGGGCCTTGGGGATTTAGGGTCCGAAGTCCATCCTCCTACCAGCCCTGGAATGGAGGGTCACTGTGTCGGGCCCCAGACTCCAGGGTCCCAATCAGTGTCCCGTGTGTGTATTGGTGGCCAGAGTGGCAGACCCTACACTGGGCGGTCAGAGAGGCCCTGCTCTAGCCCCTCCCTCTGCCACGGAGGCCACTGGGGGCCTCCTGCCCTGGCCAAGCCAGCCCTTCTCATTTCGTTCCTGCTGTCCTTGAGCTTCAACTCCTCCTCCTCTTCTGTCACCCACACCATGAGGTCAGGTTGATCCCACCCCTGAGGTGCCTCTCACATCTGTGGTGTTTTTGCTTTTGTTTGTTTTTAAACTCACAGGTAAATAGGCTTGTTATATGCCTGCCATTGTTCAAATCTCTCTGCAAATAAAATGTACCGTATATCTATTCTAAGTTGCTTACATGTATTAGATTGATTTAATTCTCACAAAGTCTGTGAGGACTTGTTAGGCCCAATTTACAGATGAGTAAACTGAGGCACGGGGGACGCATGACTTGCCTTAACCTCACAGAGCCAGGAAGGAGCAGAGTTGGGATGCGAACGCAGGCTATGTAGCTCCAGAACTTGGATGCTTAGCCACCCACCAATGCTCAGGGGGCCGGCCGCCGCCCGCGGCTCAGTCTTGGCACTTCCTGCCCGAGTTGCTGCACATGGTGGTCCTAGGTTTTGAAAATTTGAAGTTATGTGATGTAAACATATTAATAAGTCTTTGTTTGGAGTACATTTTGAAATACTGTAACTCTAATTTTTTTCAGTTAAAAAAAAAAAGTTCACAAACCTTTCCAAGTTGGCAGGCCCAGGGAATTGCAGATCCAGTGACGCTGTGCCCACAGCCTGGGGCACCGGGCCAGCGGGTCAGTGCTGTGGGCACCACGGGATGCTGCCACGCTTTGGACATTCAGTGAGCCCATGACTAGTGCCCGGTTCTGTTCTCAGGCACTGATGTTATAATTGAAAATCTTTTTTAAATCCTGTAACAATGGCATCCCAGTGACAGTTTAAGTGGTAGAGCCTGCAGTAGTGTTCCAGGAACGGAGCTGACATCAATAGCTTGAGACCGGAGGTGAGAGGTGCCAAAATGCCACAAAGAAGGCTGAACAAGCTGGTGCATGCTGCCGCCACGTTCAGGAGCAAGCCCCCTGCAAAATACTGGAGACGCTGCTGAGCAGTCGGAAAGCCGCTTTAAGCCAGAGGCCTGGCTCCGTGGCTATAGATTTAGGCACAACAACAAACATCCCTCCCACTTTACATATCCTTCTTTGGGAAGATTAGCCTCATAGGAAGCAAATTTTGAATTAAATGGGACTGCCCTGTGCTAAGCTCCGACTGTATTCTTTGCTATTTTTTCTTCTTACCACCGAGAGAACAGCTGCCAGATTAGTTTTGCTGAAAGGCTGATCATGCCACTTGGCTCCCACTGCCCACTACCACAGGTCCTGCTACTTAAGCCTTCCAATCAGAGGTGGCTGAGTCTCCCATTGGGGCCAGAGGCCCCTGCAGGTGGAGCCAAGACTCCGAAATGGGGTGCACATGCACACTAACAGGGTCAGACCGCTGACTGTTGAGGGAGGTACTGGGGTGGTCTGATGGGGTTCTCAATACCTGGGGTGGGGTGGGAACTCCTGAATGCCCAACAGGTGAGGCACTAGCTCAGTGCCTGGCACCTAATAAGTCTTCATTAACCATTGTGGGCTGAATGAACGAATGGTTGTTACAGGAGTCTTTGCCTTTGAGCTCTTGATGCGCAGGGACAGAGACCAGCGCCCTAAAGGCAAAGGGGCCTCCCAAATCTCGGGCAATTCTGAGTATTCATTTCCTTGGTCTCCGCTAGAGAAACGACCTTAATAATGAAAAACATTAAATATTTCTTCCGTTTGTCTAGAGCAGGGCTTCTCAAC